AAAGAACTAATGTCTTAATCGGTGTCTTCGGGCAGAATGTGTTGGATCGACACGAATACGAGTTTGTGTTGAATCGGGCGTGTCTTCAGTTGGAGCCAAACGATCCCAAATACATAGAGATATGTCAGACGACATACGAACACATTGTGGCCAACAGTCAGTTCGGGTCTCTCCAATCGACCCGACATTTCGGCCCATTTTGCTATTATTTGGCCTTCAATTCAAAAATCGACAAATTATTAAATGATTATATTTTAAGAGAGTCTGTGAGCGACGCTTCGGCTTTAGTGCAACTCTTTTATGTCATTCATTCACAAGACTCGCAGCTTTTGGATGAAATCCATTCGGAAGTGGTCTCCGATTTACCGCTCATTAAGGTTTGAATTTGTTTTTCAGTTAACTTTTATTATACAGCGATTTATATTTTATTTACATTACGACAGAAATATATATCTGAAGAGTCAAAAGAGAAATCAATTCTTGAGCTCTCACTTCAAAAGTATGAAGAAATACAGAGAGAAAAGGCGTCACTGAATGAAGATATCAATAGAGCCCATGGATTGAGTGCATAAACCACTGCTTTGTGTTGTCATCAAATGCTTGTTGTCTTCATTTTGTGCAAACCATAGAAGACTGGCTTCACATTTGTCTTCATTGCTAATTAAACTCAACAAATGTTTTGATAAATTTGTAATTATAAATAATTATGGATTGATATAATAAATGCAAATAAACTATATTATAGTTATTCACAATTTGCAGCACATATTTGTCTGATTTTTTTAGTATAATAATCACTTATAAACTGAATTACAATTATTTGTAAATTTATTCAAATGCATGTTTCAAATGATAGTTATTACAAAAGTCATAGTTTTCTACAGTATTATAAAAAGTCAAAACAATGCAAAACTATTTAGGCTTTGGTTTTTGGTTATTATTCACGACTTTAACACAGGTTTTGGGTAAACCATTGGAGACACCATTTGTGGCCAAAACTGTCCGCAATTGTCGCACTTCTGTCTCTAAAGACGAGACATAAGCCCGCGTTTCGGACAACTCTATCTCAATGTTGTGTCTGCGATGTCTCTCCTCGTCAATGACGGCCTCCAATGGCATTCTCACTGATATAATGATCCCGTGAACCACTCTTATCACTCGCCACAAACGCAATACAATCATTAGACTTATGTATCGTTTCATATCAGCGTTTTGACTGAAGATG